TAACTCAGTCTTTAAACCATGATTTGAGGACTTCAATAGCTCAGACATGCATTAGGGGTGTATTACAGGAGTGGGTGGGTGAGGTTCTGTGGCCTGCAATGTGCAGGAGGTCAGACTAGATCATCACAATGGTCCCTTCTGACTTCAGTAAGAGTATCTGAGTAAGAATATATATTACAATTTTAAGCCTAACCAGTGTCCCATTAGTGACTTGTCACAAGATGTCAGAACATATTAGTATTAGAGCCGAGTGGGACTAATATTTATTTAATTTTCTTTCTTAAGATAGAAATTAGATACAATGCTCCTGTCAGAAATTACTAAGTTATTACCTGCAAAAAACACTAGAGATTTCAATTGCCTAAGTGGCCCCTGGAATCACTGTTTAAGTAGCCTCCCCATTTGAAATCACGCCCCTGTGCAGGCACAGAATTCCCCCACCATGCGTGGCCCCATTGGCCTGACTGGAGTCGCCCCCATCCCAATATAGAAGTCAAACTATGCCTATGGTTTAAACCTGCATGTCCCATACTGCTGAAGAAGGTGAAAAAAAAAACCACCGTCTCTGCCATTGCAGGCAGTCCTGTCCATACTATCCCCTCCATAAACGTATCATGCTCAGTCTTGAAGCAAGTTAGGTTTTTTGCCCCCACTGCTCCACTTGGGAGCTTGCTCCAGAACTTCACTTCTTCTCCACTGTCACTTCCAACTAATAAATCCTCAGCTTAAATGCATGGCCTTGCATTTTGCACTACAACAATATCATCCCATTTCTATTATTGCAGTTTACAAAGTCATCCAGATCTTCTTGTATGGTCCTCCGGTCCTCCTCGGTATTGGCAATACCTCCCCAGTTCATATCATCTGCAAATTTTATGAGCACACTCCCACTTTCTGTGCCAAGGTCAGTAATAAAAATGTAAATAAGGTTGGTCCCAAGACGGATCCCTGAAGAACTCCACTAGTAACCTCCCTCCAGCCTGACAGTTCCCTTTCAATAGGACTTGTTGTAATCTTCCCTTCAACCAGATTCTTATCCACCTTTCAGTTTTCCCCATTAATCTCCATCTTTTCCAATGTAACTAATAATTCCTCATGTGGAACTGTATCAAGTGCCTTTCTGACATTCAGGTAGATTAGATCGACAACTGCATTTCCTTTGTCTAAAAATTCAGTTCTTATCTCAAGAAAGGTATTAGTAACTTTGTTACACCTCTTGAACACAACAATTGAAACAACTGTAGAAAAATCTACAATTACTTTCTATCATTTAGGCTAAGCCTACACTGGGAAGTACAAAGTGCTGCCATGGGAGTGCTCTCGCGGCAGCACTTTGAAGTGTGAGTGTGGTCAGGCGCGAGCGCTGGGAGAAGTTCTCCCAGCGTTCCTGGTAATCCACCTCCACGAGGACTTCAGCAACTCAGCCAGAGGTTAGGGGTCTGTTACTGGAGTGGGTGGGTGAGGTTCTGTGGCCTGTGATGTGCAGGAGGTCAGACTGGATGATCACGATGGTCCCTTCTGACTTTAGTAAGAGTATCTGAATCAAGTTATTATGTGCAAAAACACTAGAGTTTTCACTTGCCTAAGTAGCCCCTGGAATCATGGTTTAAGGTGAACCCCCTCCATCCCCATCTGAAATCGCGTCCCTGTGGGGCAGGCATGGAATTTATTCCCCACCCCCACCCCTACGCACGGCCCCCTTGGCCTGACTGGAGCCATTCCCCCAAATATAGACGTCAAACTATGCCTATTGACTCCTAGCTCTGAGAAAGTTAAAGCAATTTGAGAATTGAATGCACCTATGAATGTACCAGAACTCAGATCCATACTGGGGATGGTAAATTACTTTGGGCAATTCCTGTGAGACCTTTCTACAGTGACAAAACCACTGAATGAACTGTTAATGTCCAATGCATCTTTTTGCTAAGGAGCCAAATGAAGAAATTTCCTTCAAAAAGGTAAAAAACAATCTCAACAGCACCAGTTGTCCAGTGCTATGATGTGAACAAAACCAAAACGGCCAGGGTGGAGACAAGCAGTGACAGCTTAGCAGGTGCATTGTTGCAACAACATTGTTCTGAGTGAAAGCCATTTGCATTTTGCTCTCGCTCACTTACAGAAGCAGAAAAACAACATGCACAGATTGAAAAGGGTGCTGAGCAAACGTATGGGCATGTGAGAACTTTTACAGATATCTGTGGGATTGGATTCATTTGCACTGATAACAGACCATAAATTGCCTGTAACCCTCATCAATGGAAAAGATCTGGATGAAATACCCCTGCGATGCCAATGTCTATTGCTAAAGTTAATGCAATTTAACCCAATTGCTAAATATGTTTCTGGGAAAAATCTGGTAGTAGCAGAAACTCTGTCACAGAGACCAGGTTTGCACCCAACTACCCGTGAGCATGACGATGACATAAAGGCAAATGTGGTTGCTGTGGTCACATACAGTCCAATGTCTGAAAAAAAGAGTACATTAGTTGCAAAAAGCAATCTCGACAGACACAAAACTTCAGGCAGATCTAAGGGTACTTCTACACTACCCGCCAGATCGACGGGTAGTGATCGATCTATCGGGGATCGATTTATCGTGTCTAGTGTAGACGTGAAAAATCGATCCCTGATCACTCTGCCGTCGACTCTTGTACTCCACCGCGGCGAGAGGCGGAAGCGGAGTCGACGAGGGAGTGGCGTCAGTTGACCCCGCGCTGTGAGGACGCAAGGTAAGTCGACCTAAGATATGTCAACTTCAGCTACGCTATTCTCATAGCTGAAGTTGCGTATCTTAGGTCGATTCCCCCTCCCCCCCAGTGTAGACCAGGCCTTCGTTACATTGGGGCATCTGACCCAAGTATCTAAAGGACACTAAAGAAGTGACAAGAGATTACTTTGTAGTAATTAAGTGAATCAAGTGGACTCATGATTAAAGGCAAGTACATCGTAATTCCAAATGAAATGCGAGGAGAAATCCTAAACCTTATCCAGAAAGGACGTCCAGAATTAACTAAATGCCATAAATGGGCCAACCAGTTAGTGTGGTGGCTGGACATCACCAAGGACATAAGGAATAAAGTATCTGCATGTCATGGTCATGTTGGACAGTTGACCACAAAGATGTAGAATACCAAGTAGGGAAAGAAGTTATTTAAGTTAAGTGACAGTGTGGACACAAGAACGAATGGATATAAATAGGCCCTACCAAATTCATGGTCCATTTTGGTCAATGTCACAGTTATAGGATTTAAAAAATCATAAATTTCATGATTTCAGCTATTGAAATCTGAAATTTCACAGTGTTGTAATTGTAGGGGTCCTGACCCAAAAAGGAGATGTGGGGGGGGGGGGGCGAGTGTCACAATATTATTGTAGGGGGTGTGTGTCTGGTGTTGCTACACTTGCTTTTGTGGCACTGCCTTCAGAGCTCGGTGGCCAGAGAGCAGCGGCTGCTGGCTGGGAGCCCAGCTCGGAAGGCAGAGCCGCCACTAGCAGCAGTGCGGAAGTAAGGATGGCCTGGTATGGTATTGCCACCCTTACTTCTGCGCTGCGGCCTGCACAGCTGGGCCCTCAGCCAGCAGTCACCACTCTCCAGCAGCCCAGAGGTAATGGTGGCATGGGCCTTCAGAGCTGGGTGTCCGGGCTACAGCCACCACTCTCCAGCCGCCCAGCTCTGAAGGCAGCACAGAAGTAAGGGTGGCTACAATGGCGTGTGGCTGATCTGCGACTGCTAACAGCAAATATCTCCAGTGGCTGGTGATGGGACACTGGGTGGGGAGGGCTCTGACTTATGACAGAATTCTTTCCCACGTGTCTCACTGATGGGTCTCACACACATGCTCAGGGTCTAACTGATCATAAGACTTGGGGTCAGGAAGGAATTTTCCCCTGGGTGAGATTGGCAAAGACCCTGGGGGATTTTCGCCTTCCTCTGCAGCACGGGGCACTTGCTGGTTTAAACTAGAGTAAATGGTGGATTCTCTGTAACCTGAATCTTTGAATCATGATTTGAGGACTTCAGTAACACTCCCAGAGGTGAAGTATGTGGCCTGCGATGTGCAGGAAGTCAGAGTGGATGATCATGACGGTCCTTAAAGTCTATGAGTCTACGAGAGCTGCTGTGTGCATGCTAAGCTGGGCAATCAGGAAAAGGCATTTCAAAACTATGCAGGGTTTTTAAAGTGGGGGAAATGGCTTCCAGTCTCTGTGACCCCTGAGCAGTGGAGTTCAAGAGAGATCAGCATCAGGCATTGTGGGACAACTGCTGGAGAACTGTTAGGGTGGACATAGATCACGCACCATCCACACTTGCACTGTGTTAACCACACTCTGTCGACATACGCGCAACTAGGTCAATGCAAGGTGGCTTATGTCAATCAAACGTGGTAGCGTAGCCCAGGCCTACAGGAATTCTGATACCAGTATAAAGCACAGTTACATTGGTCTAAGGTGTAGTGAGTGTAAACAACTTAACTAGTCCGAAGATGGAATTTGATAAATTTACAAATGGGATTTTATGACAGACCTGCCTACAATAGCAGGGACTGGACATGAGGACCTGTCCAGTGCTGTGTTCCTATAACTGTGTCCACGTGACAGGATTGTACTGCTTTCTCTGGAGCAATTTCAAACTGAGCTAGCGGAAGCAGTATAAAACTCTGTGTCGATCAGCCCTTGGTGTAACTGGGAATCAGGCCCTGGAAATAAGCTGAATAATTTTTTTTTAACTGTGTTAGCGTAGCAGTTTCAGCAGCGAGAGGACTGAGTGGGCCACAGAGACTGATCTCAGGTTTTCTCTGCACAGGGTGCCTACAGGATAGGGGGAAGAAGAACATCACCATGTGATGTGTGTGGGGGCTGGGGGTGGGTGGGAATTCTCCCTGCTGCATTAGGGGAGGCACCTTCCCCAGTGCTAAATTCATTAGGGAAATGGACAATTAAAGTGACTCCAGATGGCACAAAAGAAGCAGGAGAGCAAAGCGGGAACAGGCAGTACCTACCATAGAGAGTCCACAGAGCTGTCAAAAGCAGCGACCAGCCAGGGCTCGTTCCCATCCTGCCTCTAACCATTTTGCATCTGCAAGAGAAGGAGAGAAAATGCTCCGATTAGCTGCATTCCAGACACCAGCCCCTGGGAACAACATTCACACTGGCCCTGCAGCCCCGGGTTCCCTGCAGCCCCACTCACCCCAGCACAAACCGGGAGTCACTCCGCTGAAGGCCGCTTAACTGGGCCTGATTCTCTGTCGCGTCCTGACTCCTTCACCGGGGTCGTGCAGTGACCCAGAGGTTTATAAAGGGGACTTAGGGTGACTGAGAGGCAGGATGAACAGCTTTACACCAGGATTGGAATGGGGCTTGTTTGAGGGTGGGAGTGGGGGCTACTGCCCTCTCCTCACATGGCCGAGGGGGTACGGGCCAACACCGGCCAGCACTGGTCGCAGGAGGCAAATAGTATGCGAAAGCCTGATCCCTGACTGCAGCCTCGTGGTGGGGCAGGGGGAACAGGTGGGGTTGGGATGAGGGAGGTGATGGGGCCCCAGAAAAGGGGTATTGATCATCCCGGCCCATGTGCATGAACAGCCCCAGCCCCACAGTGCTGGGTGAGCTTGTTTCTGTGACCCATCACAGCCCCAGGCCCTCTCCCATCCTAGCCCCAGACAGGAACATGCCCCAGCCCCTCTCCTACGCAACCCCCTAGAGAGCAACAGCCCCCGCCACCCCCTCACAGACAGCAACACCCCCATAGCCCCTTCTTCCACTGAGACTGCTCCCCCATGCCAGACAGCCTGTTCCCGACCCTGGCCTTCAGCGCAGCCCCAGGGACCTGTCCAATCGCCCTGCCAGACAGAGCCGGCACAGGGAAAGCAGACGGGGCCACGCTCGAGGGCTGGAGTCAGTGGGGGGCCCTGACCAGCAGAGACCAGGACTCACGGGGGCATCTTTTCACTCCCTTCCCGACCCTGACCCTTGAGCCCGGCCCCGTCTGCGTTCCCAGCACAGCACTGAAGGAGCAGAGTCGGGTGGGGGTGGGGGTAGGAAAGACGCACCCAGGAATACTGGCCCCCTGCTGCTGAAATACGGGATAAAAAGCATCTCGCACTGATTGAGTATGGGACAGGCCATTTTCTATTTAAATAAGGGACGTCCCATGTAATACAGGACTGTTGGCAACCCTAATGGGGTCAGATCCCCAGCTGGGGTCAATGGGCCGTAGCACCATTGGAATGAATGTGATTATGCCAATCTCCACCTAACCCTTAATGGGGGTCTATAGAAATTACACTCACAGCTCTAGAATCGAATAGAAACTCAAGGCCCCTTTAAAACTCTCTGGCAGCGTCAGTGAGAATAACATTTGCTCCCACTTTCAGTTCCTCGTCCACTGCTACAGCAGAGCAATAGGCCTTCAGCATAAATGAAATCACATCCCCAGATCATTTCTGCAGTTTTTTTTAAACCACCCTATAAACACCGTCAGCTGGAATATAATTCTCTATTGCATTCTATAGGATGCTTTAACAAAAGCATTCTGCTGTTGTGCATTCTGCTCTACTCTGCGCTGATTCAGCCTCAGCTGGAGTCTTGTGCCCAGTTCTGGGTTCCACATTTCAGGAAAGATGTGGACAAACTGGAGAAAGTCCAGAGGAGAACAACAAAAATGATGAAAGGTCTAGAAAACATGAGCTATGTGGGAAGATTGAAAAAACTGGGTTTGTTTAGTCTGGAGAAGAGAAGGCTGAGGGGCAACATGATCTAAGTTTTCAAGTACTGTACATAAAAGGTTGTTATAAAGAGGAGGAGGATCGATTGTTCTCTTTAACCAGTGAGGGCAGAACAAGAAGCAATGGGCTTAAATTGGAGCAAGGGAAATTTCAGTTAGACATTAGGAAAAACTTTCTCACTGCCAGGGCACTTAAACACTGGAACAAATTACCCCAGTGAGTCTCCCTCATTGGAGATTTTTAAGAGCAGGTTGGACAAACGCCTGTCAGGGATGGTCTAGATAATACTTAGTCCTGCCCTGAGTGCCGGGGACTGGACTAGATGACCTCTCGAGGTCCCTTCCAGTCCTACGATTCTATGATTCTACGATCGCCAGTCATTGCTCAGCAGCCATTTTAATGGTCATTTTGCAGCTGCCATTTTAAATGTCTCCTGTATCTGGAAGCAAAAGGCAGCAGCGGCAGCAGCGGCAGCAAATGAGAGCCAGTCTGGAGAAGAGTCTCTTACCTTCCACCCCAAGTGCACCAGACCCTCCGACCTCCTCGATGAACTCAGAAAAGCAGAATAATCCCTGCATGTTCCTCCATCTCCCTCCCTTCCTGTGTCTCTCGGCGTCGCTGAGCTCTGACTCTGAGTAACACGGAAAGTGAAAGTAAATAATGCAACGATCTACAGCAGGAGCAGGTAGCAAAGTCCAGATCTCTCAGGGCTTTCAGGGGAGTAGAGAATCAGAACCGTACATCTGCAGCTTGTCACTTGTGTGTCACCAAACGCATGAGCCTCATGACCAGGGATAAACCCCAGCCCAAATGTGCTGGTGATGTTTGGAATTTACGGCTAGTAATTTCACGAGTGTCCACTTCACCTTTTCAAAAGGGCTTCCTGGCATGTGACACCTGTAAGCATCTCAGGCCCCGTCCGCACTGCTGCTGCGTGGTGTGACTCCAGCCTGGGCAGATGGACTCACACTAGTGCTTGAGCCAGTGTGCTAGAAATAGCAGTATGAACAATGTGGCACAGAGGGGGTGGGGAGAAGGAGCTCACGCTTCAGCTATCTGAGCTTGGATCCAGGGAGTTGGGCGGAGTTGGACTTGGGTGGCTAACGAAGCCACCGTCAGTGCCCCAACATTGACTCTTTTCAGCGTGCTAGATGGAGCAAAGTTAGTGTCTGTCTATCCATGCTGAGAATCCCAGCTGCAGTGGAGACAGACCTCTCCTCAGGCCTGGTCTGCCCTTAGAAGTTAACAGGATCTCTATTTCGGTGAGGGATGTGATTTTTATCTGGCTAGTGGGTCCTTCTACACTGGAGGGGTGATTTGCAGCTCGAGGAAACACCCGAGTTAGCTCTGATAGCCCGTTGGGCGATCGTGGCCACACTTCTGTTTTTAGCGAGGTCGCTTGATCAGAGCTAGTGTGACTAGATCCCAGGAGCGGGAATCACATAGTCTGTTTCCAGTGTAGACCTACCCATAGAGACACCAGTACAACTACGAGTGTGGACGTGGTTATATGGGTAAAAGGTGGCTTATCCCAATATGGCTTATTCCCCTGCTCATACAGGAATAATCTGTCCCAGGATAAAGCACGTTCATACCGATCTAACTACATGTAGACTGAAGAAGCTGCTCCACTTTAAGTACACTTGTATCTTTAACGCAGGGTACATCTACACTTACCGGGGGGTCCGGCGGCAGGCAATCGATGTTCTGGGATCGACTTATCGCGTCTAGTGAAGACGCGATAAAATCGATCCCTGATCGCTCTGCCGTCGACTCCGGAAATCCACCGCGGCAAGAGGCGGCAGCGGAGTCGGCGGCAGCGCGGCAACGGTCGACTATCCCTCGTCCTCACAGCCAGGTAAGCCGACCTAAAATACGCAACTTCAGCTACGGTATTCACGTAGCTGAAGTTGCGTATCTTAGGTCGGACCCCTGCTGTAGTGTAGACCCAGCCGCAGTCTAACTTTCTAGTGCAGACAAGCCCTCAGACGTGGGTCAGATCTCAAGAAAAGCAGAGTTTGGTGCTGTCAACGCTTAGATAGGAGAGAGCCAGAAAAGATCAGGGTGATGTAGGGAACAGGGCGAGGGGCTCAGCAGTCTTGTCTAAACGTGAAAATGAATCTGGTATAAGGTTGGGTGTGAATTTAAAGTGAATTACCTATTCCTGATTAGCTTCAGGTGAGTCCACATGTGGAGTTCCTCAAGAGTATTTAATCAGGATTAGTTAATCCAGAATAACTCCCTGTGTAGACAAGATGTTATACTAAAGCCCCTTACACTGCTCTGACAGTGCAAAAGAGCCCTAAAATACCCCAGTACTAGCACCATAACAAACAAATTTCATTATTATTTATTAGACATATTATGGTAGAGCCTAGGAGCTCCTGTCATGGCCCAGGACCCGATAGAGCTAGATGCTGTACATTATAATTGCTATTTAGTAGGTGTATTACGGTAGCACCCATAAGCCCCAGTCCCACCCAGGCCTCCATCGCGCTAGGTGCTGCACAATACAACGGTCCCTGATCCAAAGTCTTTGCAGTCTAATTCCAGGAGCACCCATGTTAAAGCCCCTTGGGGAAGCTAGCAGGACCTGCGTCCAGAGGAGGGACCAGAGAAGATTCTAGTTCGTGTTGGCAGCTCACAGGAAGCAGAAGAACTGTGTCTGGCAAAAGCAAAAGGACCAAATTCTGCTCCCAGACTGGTGTAAATCAGGAGTAAGGGAGGTTAGGAGGGGAGGGCACTGCAGCGTGGGGGCGCTCTAGGGGTGAAATACTAGTTTGGCCCAGGAGGGGTTATCTCCTGCCCATCAGGAAGGCCTATTGAATCCAAATGGGCCATTGTGGGACATCATAGATCAATGGTTCTCAACCAGGGGTACGTGTCTTCCAGGGGGTGCATCAACTCATCTAGATATTTGCCTAGTTTTAAAACAGGCTACCGTAAAAGCACTAGCATAGTCAGTACAAACTAAAATTTCATACAGACAATGACTTGTTTATACTGCTCTAGGTACTGTGACAAAGCTCTGTCCTTGTCTCCGTGGATCCCGTGATTCCTGGCGGATTTCGCTAGCCTCAGAGGCTCACTGTGGCCCTCCACGTAGCCCTTCTCTCTCTAGAAACAAGGGTCACAGCCTACTGAGCCCTTTTCATCATCAGCCAGCGAGGGAGGTGAGGAGAAGCATCCTTCCCTCGCACAGTCTCTGTTGTCTCCCAATCTCAGAGATTAACTGGAGGGGGGGGGGAGCCCGGGCCCACCCTCTACTCTGGGCTCCAGCCCAGAGACCCTAATAATAGCAGCTATGGTAGCTGACTTTTTGGAAATAGGACGTGTATAATTCCCTGGGGCACTTCCCCACAGCAGCCCCCCACTCAATATCTCCTTCACCATTACCTCAGGGCCTCCTTCCTTGCACCTGATATGGATTTGTACTGCTTCATTCCTTCAACAGCACAGCTCCCTCCTATAGCTCCTGACACCCACACCTCACTGACTAACTGGGAGGCTTTTAACTAGTTTCAGCCCGTCCTTGATTGGCTTCAGGTGTCCCAATCAACCTAGCTATCGCCAAAGCTTTCTAGAAGGATCTTAATTGGCCCCAGTTGTCTTGATTAACCTGGAGCAACTGCCATTTGGTTACCATGGTACCAGGGATTTGTTTAGCCTGAGGCTAACATATCTGTTCCTCACCACTTTACTATAACCATCTGGCCTTGCCCCGTCACAGTACCATACACTAAAATGTAAGTACAATATTTATATCCCAGTTGATTTATTTTATTATTATATGGTAAAAAGAAGAAAGTCGGCAATTGTTCAATAACAGTGTCCCATGACACGTGTGTATGTTTATGTCTGAGATTGTAAGCAAGTAGATTTTAAGTGAGGTGAAATTTGGGGGCACACAAAACAAATCAGACTTTCTGGTAGTCTGGAAAGTTTGAGAGCCGCTGGCCTAGACCAAAGACTTTGTTGCTTGCTCCCCTGCACATCCATGAAGAGGGGGAGGAGCAGAAACGCTCGTCCCATCAGCTTAAACTTGGGGGGAAGGGTCTAAAACTGCCTGACAACAAAAATTAAGGCATCTTATGTCAACCTAACAGTGGAAGTGTCTACACTTCATTTTGCTCCTGCCGACATAACTGTCCTGCTACACCGACTAATAACTCCACCGTTGTGAGCGGCGTAGAGTCAAAGTCGGTGTAGTTAGGTTGACGTAGCATCAGTGTAGACACTGTGTTATGCTTATAAGGAACACACGGGATCTTTTTCTGGGGAAAAGGCAATACGCCACGTTTATTGGAGATATAACAATTAGTATATGCATTCAACCACAGCGCACACACACACACACTGTTCCGCCAGTCAATGTTATAGTTACCACTCCAGAGTCCGGATCAATCTAGTGGCAAGCTAGGTTGATCACTAGTAGGGAGGAACCAAGTTCCGTCCATTGCGACACGATGCTCCGGGGAAGTTTTGTCAGGATGAACCCAAAGTTTCATGGCAAGGTCCCCTGTTTGTATAGTGATTTTCCTTCATTGGGACCAATGAGTTTTGCACCATCATGCTGTAATTAATTGTTGTTTGACAAGTGCTTGTTTTCTTAAATTGTCCTTCTCATTCTTTATCACAGCTATCTCGTCCCCATTGACAGGTGCTTGTCTCATCTTTAGAGTCGTCAATCTGCCCTCCTCTGACATTTCAATAGGGGCGTGTTGCAGCATCCTGGCGCCCTTGCATCTGTCTCTGGTTCCTCCCTCGTACATCTGGTTCAGCGATGGCCTTCACACTTATCTCTATACACACACATTCCTCATTCACACTCAAAACAGAATCAATTTACACAGAACATTTTGAACAGGAACATCAAGTTGCAATGCAGGAGAAAAACAATCCTTGCATTCTTTTACTTACTTTAAAATGCTAAACCTACAACAAAATAGTGACCTTAAAATGTCTGTTACTGCCTTGAAATCAGCCCAGACACAGATTCCGGCTGATGCATCTTTACCAAATGGCCCATTAGGCCATTCCTTTCTCCTATTCAGAAAGGGTGGCTGGCAGGATATGATCAAATCATACACCAATACATTTAATACATGCTACATTATTATCTCATTATTCTTTATCCTTCATTCTAAATCATACAAAATGCAAACATAAAATCCTACTACTACAACTGTGTTGCTTACATCAACTGGCTTTCAGAAGCCATCTCACAATGCCACATGCTGATAGTACAGTCGATAGACACGCTCCTGGCAAAGGCGCGCACCGCCGACACAAGGAGCAAAGTGTAGACACTCACAAGCGATGTAATTACTGCAGCACCTGTATGCCAATCTAAGGTAGGTTGAGTTTATTTTGTAATGCAGACATGGCGGTGCATAGCTGAGTTTTAAGTGTAGATCAAGCGCAAGGTTACAGAGAGCCTGAAATAATCACTTTGAGGTGTGAATTGCCCCGTTCATTCCAGTGGACACCATCATAGGACCTAACCATATCAGCCACACCATCCGGGGCTCGTTCACCTGCACATGTACCAATGTGATATGTGCCATCATGTGCCAGCAATGCCCCTTTGCCACGTACATTGGCCAAACCGGACAGTTTCTATGCAAAAGAATAAATGGACACAAATCTGACATCAGGAATCATAACATTCAAAAACCAGGAGGAGAACACTTCAATCTCTGTGTTCACTCAATAACAGACCTAAAAGTGGCAATTCTTAGAACAAAAAAACTTCAAAAACAGACTCCAATGTGAAACTGCAGAACTGAAATTAATTTGCAAACTAGATACCATCAGATTAGGCCTGAATAAAGACTGGGTGTGGTTGGGTCATTACAAAACCTAAACTTAATTTCCCCAATACTAATTTCTCCCTCCTGTTACTCACACCTCATTGTCAACTGTCTGTAGTGGGCCACTCTGTTACCACTTCAGAAGTTATTTCTCCTCCCTTTGTTTCCTGCTGTTAATTGATTTATCTCGTTAGACTGACCTCACACTTGGTAAAGCAACCCCCATCCTTTCGTGTATTTATACCTGCTCCTGTATCTTTTACTTCATAGATCTGATGAAGTGGGTTCTAGCCCACGAAAGCGTATGCCCAAATAAATTCTTTATGAGTCAGAACTTACGGGTAGCAGCCATTGCTCACATGCTACCTGGAACGTCCTCCTGTAGACTTCTTTTGTGGATTGGAGCCTTCCAAGATCCATGGTGTGTTAAGTGCTTCTTGATTGGGCAATTAACTTGCAAATTCCTTTCTAAAGAAGCTGACCAAGGCTACTTAAAAATGAAATTAGTACACAGCCAATATTCATAACTTTGAATACAACAATGACACATGCATACAAATAGGATGAATATATTCAGTAGATCGTAACCTTTGCAGAGATATGTTACATGGCATCTGTAGCATAAAACATATTCCAGTTATGTCATATTTACATTCATAAGCATATTTCCATGAAGCCCTCTGGGGTGCACTGTCACACTGGGGCATATAAGGGTGGCAGCCTGGAAGTGCTGCTCGACCCAGCCTGCTCAGGCTTACTCCATTCCGGTGCGGTTCCTTTGGCACATAAGGTTGGCAGCTTCAAAGTGCTGCTTGACCCAGCCTGTGAGTTCAGGGGCATATAAGGGGTCAGCTTGAGAGTGCTTATTGACCTGGTCCGCTCAGACTTGCTCTGTTTGTGTGTGTGTGTGTTCATCGGATTCTGCGGCTAGAGGAACCCAGCCCTGGGAAACCTAGGTCCTGCAGGATAGCTCCATTGGGAGGGGACATGCAGCAGGGAGAAGTAGAGCTGTGTATGAAAACACAAGTGACACAAGCAGTACATTGATAGAATTACAGACACCTCCCCCCCGAAGAGTAACCCTAATAAATCAGTGTATCCCAAAGTAATGGGCACATCTGGTAACAAGGCCCTACATGACTTGCTCAGGGGTCTATAGAGTGAGACTACATCAGAGCAGAGGAGGGGAGACTGTTGGGGGCGGGTCTAGATGGGCAGCAGGGAATGGCGCAGAGGAGAAGGGGGAGGGTGTTGTATAGGGTCAGAGCCGTAAGAGACTAGAGGTCCCCAGACACTGACCCCCCCTGTTTTGCCCCCCACAGGTGGGACAAACATGCACACCACCATGAAAGGCTGCGCCACTGAGTCTGCTGAGTTACCGTCCTGCTGGCGAACGTCCTCTCCTGAGCCCCACTCCCGTGGCACAGCCACGCGGCCCTGGATAACCACACCGCAGGTGGCAGGCAGGCGCACCCCCACCAAAGGCTCCCACGCCCAGCTCGGATTCACTTCCCCTTTAGTGGGATTAACAGAATAAAACAGACAGGAGAAAATTGTCGTGTGTGTGTGTGTGTCTGTCTATCTGTAATCACGAATCTCAGATACCGTGTGTCTGTCTGTGTGTCATTGTCAGCGTTGGACTCTGGGTGTATGCAATCATGAGTTTAATATTGTGTGTGTGTGCGAGTGTATGTGATCAGGAGTCTTGGAACGTGTGTGTGCATCTATGTGTGTGATAGCAAATCTTGGATTATGTGTGTAATCATGTCTTGGACTGTGTGTGTATAAGTCTTGGACTCTGTGTCTGTGTCTGTGTGTATGGTGTGTGTGTGTGTATAGTCCTGAGTCCTGGATTGTGTGTGTAACCGTGAGTCTTGGATCATGGATCTGTGTGTGAGATAGTGTCTCTGTGTGTGTGTTGGTGTGTGTCTGGGATTATGTGGGGGTGTTTGTGATGATTGGGCTGATTTCCCCGTGTTTATTTCTAGTGGGGGTCGTGGGGCTATCAGAAGCCTGGTTCTGTAGCTGTTTGGATCTAGGACAACTTCCAGTGGTGGAATCAGAAGAGCGCGCACACACACACACACACACACACACACACACACACTAACTAACTATAGGGACACAGCCATCTCTCATGCCACACCCACCCTCCTACAGATCCTAGAGCCTGTTGGAAAATGGGGTTTGTTTACTGGAGGGGGGTATTTCTTAGAATATTGCAGTGTTTTTGTCATAAAACAGAAAAATGTTCAGCCAAAAAACCCAATTTTTTTTAATTGTAAATATTTTTTTTGTGTGGCAGGACCCACCGAGCAGGGCTGGAGACCCTAAAGGGTTAAAGCGGCTTCCCCTGCCCCCTACGCCGGGGGATGCCAGAGCAGCTCTGCTTCCTGCACAGAGCAGGTGTTGGAAAGATACTGGGCACCAGGATTGAACCTTGGACTTGGAGGGTGGGGGGAGAAATAAACACAGGAGTGTTTAACATTGGAATTAAAGGAGACGCATCTGTAGCTGTGTGTGTGGCATCACAGCTCCCTAAACCACTTTACAGGATCCAGCCACTAGAGGGAGCGAAAGACACACACTGGTATGGATCTGGGTTACATCGGTGCTACAGTAAACCATCCCACCGAGAGGGTGGGGGGAAAGCGAGAGAGCCCTCTAGGATCAACAGAGACTCACCCACCTGGGATAATGTGGACGACTCCTTAGATTTAAGAGGATAAATTATAACTTTTTTCTGTTGAGATGCCGTTAACCTGTGGAACTCCCTGCCATTGGAAACTGCCAGCCCCAGGATTCAGACATGATTGTCCATTTGGACAGACAATGAGATGATCCACAGCCTCATTAGAGAGATGAGCATAAAAGGGACACACGCCTACCTGTTTCTGAGCCCATCGATCTCTGATTGAGGAGGTAGGAAAAAGCCCTCCCCTACGGCCCAGATTATTCCATCAGTGACCACTAGGGGGCATCATGCACCATCCCATGGAGCAGCTGGACCTGGCTTCCCATCAGAGCTGGGACTGGACTAGTGTCTTCCATTCACTTGCTCTGCTCTGGGATTACTCAGGAGGGGGCAGGTATGTAAAATATAGACAGATCCCAGCTGGGGTCAATTGGCCATGGCTCCAGTGGAGTCAATGGGAATGAAGAGAGTGGAGTGAGGGCTGTGCAGAGATGAATTGTGTTGCCTTTCCTATCACAGGGACCTGTGTTTCGTGTGAGGTTCTATACTGACCTTGGGTGAGTCATTCCTCCTGTACGCCCTGCCTCAGTTTCCCCATCTTTAACTTTATCCTGATCTGTCATGTGAAGAGTTGTGATGGGGAGACAACACTGAGTCCCTGGGAATAGTCCTCCGGCCATGCAGGAGGTGCCCCACTGAATAAAACTGAGCCCCTGGCGGGGAGGAGTTTAGTGGGTGGGGCTCTAGCCTGCCCCCAGGTGTGAACCCAGCTGACCCCACTGGGGCGGGATCCAGGGCTCCCTGCTGCAACCCCCTCCCCTGCCCCTGCTTCCTCCAGTGACCCCAGAGCTACAGCTCCCCCTGCAGGGGGCGCCCAGGGCTGAGCTGTGCAGCCCCCAGCTGCTCTTCCTGCCCCGACGCCTCCTGGGGCTCGTCCCCCGAGCTGACTGCGTTTGCTCCGCTTCTTCCCAGTGCCCCCGGCTAACACCACCCTGAACGGCCTGCACTGCCCAGCCTGCTACTCTGTGTTTACCCATCACTGCAGTGAAGAGATCATCGACTGCACAGGAGCCCAGACCCAGTGCATCCATATCAGCGGCACCGTGAAAACCGGTAATTGCCATTTGGCTGTTTCTCTGTTCAGGTTTCCCCATCCAGGAGGGAGCCACGCACACAGGCAATCCCCTGCCATGGGAAGAATTGGGCAGAGTCTCAGCACACCTGGATTCTGTCCCCGTGATTTCTCCTCACTGTGCCTCTGTTTCCCCTATGCACCCCTTGGGGTTTTATTTTAGAATTCACAAGAGTGTGGAGACAGGTGACAAGGAAGGTCTGGAAAAGCCTGCAGAGAGAAGGGAAACAACTGGGGCTATTTTTCCTTGGGAATAAGAGAGGCGACGTGATAGAACATATGAAATTATGATTGTGATAGAGAAGCAGAGAGCTGAACAAATAAGGGAGATAGCTAGATAGATAGATCTTTAGTTCTATGCCAACACCAAAAAAATTGGGAGAAAATAGTTGTTTCGGGTTTAATAGATTTTTTTTTTGGCACTTTCAACCAACTGAAAAGTAAGAAAAAGTTTCATTTTGGGTCAAACGAAACATCTGGTTTTGATTTTGAGGGATTGTTAGTGTTGTTTAAAGTTTTTTTTTTTTTAAATAAAATGTTGTAAGGAAAGGCGGTTTTGTACCAAAATAGTGAAAGGTTTCGATTTTCTTTCCAGAGTTTGTTTTATGGGGTTTCTTCTGACTGAAACCATTCAGCGACTTTGAATTCACAAAACGTTTCCTGGTGGTCAAATTTGCATTTTTCATTGAAAATTTTCACTGAGCACTAAAGCAGGGAGATGGCAAACTTCTGAACACCCTCTGTCATAAGATGGGGCATAAGAGAACATTCAATGAAATTGAAAAGGGACAAGTTCATTATGAAACTGGAAACACTATTCCCAGTCGATAAACCATTAGTCCGTGGAACTCCCCACCAAAGAAATTGCTGTGGTCAAGAGCTGAGCAAGGTTCAAAAAGGGATTGTATGCTTAGCGGAGAGATCATAATAAATGATTGTAAAAATGTTGGCAGGGATATTAAACCTCCTCTTTCAGGTCTTAAGGTGATCTCTAGCTATTAGCAATCAGGACAAGACCTAGAGTAGGAGGAGATTATCCCACATATTGGGCGGTTTTGATCCCTTTCTCTGCAGAATCTAGTGCTGGCCACTGATGGAGACGGGATACTGTCCTATGCACAGCACCCTGCACAATGGGCCCCCAAACTGCCGTGGTGTCTCAAGAGTCTGCTATTCTACAAATCAAAAGTACTACAGAAAAAGTGATGGCACAAACACACCATCCCTGGGACTGCTGCAGAAATCCCCCAGCTGGTTTGACCTGGCAGTCCCAGAGATATTTCTTTCTTACTGGTGGTAGAATGGTACAATAGATGCCCCAACTGAGATCAGACCCTTTTTGATCCGGATGTTGCACAGACCCCTTGGCTGAGATGGGGATCCCTGCTGTGCAAGGTGCTGCATGCCCCCACCTGGCTGAAATTGGGAGTCCCAACATGCCAGGGACTGTACAGACCCCTTGACTGAGAGCTTCTTAGGGATCTCACTCTGCCACCATCGGTGAGCTACACCATTGCCAGGTAAATGGTGGAACTAACGCAGGCCTGTTCCAACGTTCGTTAGGGATCAGGGCCCTACATGACTCATTCAGGGATCCACAGAGTGACACTGCATCAGAGCAGGGGAGGGGAGACTGTTGGTGGGTCTAGATGGGTAGCAGGGAGTGGTGCAGAGGAGGAGGGGGGGGTGTTGTATAGGGTCAGAGCCGTAAGAGGCCAGAGGTCCCTAGACACTGACCCTGCTGTTTTGTCCCCCACAGGTGAGACAACCGTGCACACCACCATGAAACGCTGCGCCACCGAGTCTGCCTGCACTAATATACAACAGTTCAAAGGGGCCTTCGGGGGGTTCAGGGCAGATCTCACCACAGCCGAATGTAGACCAGCCTCCCGTGCGGCCAGCATGGCTCCAGAACCATCTGGACTCATCCTCCCAGCCCTTGTTACCGTCCTGCTGGCGAACGTCCTCTCCTGATCCCCACTCCTGCGGCACAGCCACGCTGCCCTGGATAACCACACCGCACATGGCAGGAGGGTGCACCCCTGCCCAGCTCGGATTCACTTCCCCTTTATTGGGATTAACTGAATAAAACAGACAGGAGAAAATTGGTGTGTGTGTGTGTGTGTGTGTGTCTGTAATCCTGAATCTCGGATACTGTGTGTTTTTTCCATGTGTAAAAGTGAGTGTTGGACTCTGGGTGTGTGCAATCATGAGTTTCATATTGTGTGTGTGTGTGTGTGTGTGTGTGATGAGTCTTGGGGCAACAGAATTTGGCTTGCATGCGGCCATGGTAAGCCATTGTCTTTCGGCTTCTGCCCCCTCCTTTCCCACATACCAAGCAAAGCCTGTTGAGTGCTGCAGTTTTCCTGTTAACCTGCAGCAGCAGAAAACAAACTAACCCCCCCCCATCCAATTCTCTGGGATGATCGCTTTATCCCTCCCCCCACCGCGTGGCTGGTATCAGGGAAGATCCCTGCAGGAACCAAACTAACACCCCCCACCCCGCCACCCCGCCATGAATTCTCTGGGATGATCGCTTTACCCCTCCCCCCACCGCGTGGCTGGTATCAGGGAAGATTCCTGCTAGCCAAATGCAAAAAGCGCAGCGCCAATTCCCCCCCACCCGCGCTTGGCTAACTACAGGGAAGGATTTCTTTTCAGCCACAGGCAAACAGCCCAGTAGGAATGGCCACCACTGTCCCCTTAATTAAATTTCCGTCTTTCAACCAGGTTACCATGAGCGATATCACTCTTCTGGGGATTACACAGCATGATAAAGAACGGATGTTGCTTGAATGCCAGCAAACACCGGGACCATACGCTGCCAGGCTTTGTCAGGCAATGATACCAGATTACTTGCTGCAAGCATGGCGTGGTCAAGTGTCCTACCATGGAGGATGGAATAAGGCTGCACTGCCCAGAAACCTTGTGGAAAGGCTTTTGGAGTACCTCCAGGAGAGCTTCATGGAGATGTCCCTGGAGGATTTCCATGTCATCCCCAGACACGTTAACAGACTTTTCCAGTAGCTGTGCTGGCAGCAAATGCATCCCAAGTCCTCAGGGCTAATTAATCATTAAAAAACGCTTGCTTTTAAACCATGTTTTATATTTTAAAAGGTAAACTCACCTGAGGTCCCTTCCATGGGGTCATGGTCTGGGATATTGCCTTGGGAGGGTACTTCAGTCAGGCTGAGAAAAAGATCCTGGCTGTTGGGGAGAACGGAGTGCTGTGTGCTCTCCGCAAGCTCGTCCTCCTCTTCCTCCTCCTCCTCCTCTTCCCCGTCCGCAGAATCCTCAGGTGCAGCTGATGAGATTATCCCCGCCTCGGAATCCACGGTCAGAGGTGGGGTAGTGGTGGCAGCCCCCCCTAGAATTGCATGCAGCTCAGCGTAGAAGCGGCATGTCTGTGGCTCTGACCTGGAGCGACCGTTTGCCTCTTTTGTTTTTTGATAGGCTTGTCTGAGCTCCTTAACTGTCACGCGGCACTGATATGAGTCCCTATTGTGGCCTCTCTCCATCATGCCCTTTGAGATTTTTTCAAAAGTTTTGGCATTTCATCTTTTGGAACGTAGTTCCGCTAGCACTGAATCCTCTCCCCATATAGCGATCAGATCCAGTACCTCCCGTACGGTCCATGCTGGTGCTCTTTTTTGATTCCCTGACTGCATGGTTACCTGTGCTGATGAGCTCTGTGTGGTCACCTGTGCTCTCCACGCTGGACAAACAGGAAATGTAATTCAAAAGTTCGCGAGGCTTTTCCTGTCTACCTGACCAGTGCATCTGAGTTCAGATTGCAATCCAGAGCAGTAACAATGGTGCACTGTGGGATAGCTCCCGGAGGCCAATACCCTCGAATTGCGGCCACACTAACCCTAATTCGAAATGGCAATGTCAATTTTGGCGCTACACCCCTCGTCGGGGAGGAGTACAGAAATCGATTTTAAGAGCCCTTTATTTTAAAGTAAGTGGCTTCGTTGTGTGGACGGGTGCAGGGTCAATTCGATTTAACGCTGCTAAATTTGAATTAAACCCTTAGTGTAGACCAGGCCTTTGTTTTTGATAGGCTTGCCTGAGCTCCTTAATTTTCAGGCGGCACTGCTGTGTGTCCCTTTTGTAGCCTCTTTCCATCATGCCCTTGGAGATTTTGACAAATACACCTCTACCTCGATATAACGCGACCCAATATAACACGAATTCTGATATAACGCGGTAAAGCAGTGCTCCAGGGGGGCGGGGCTGCGCACTCCAGTGGATCAAAGCAAATTCAATATAACACATTTTCACCTATAACGCGGTAAGATTTTTTGACTCCCGAGCACAGCGTTATATCGAGGTAGAGGTGTATATTGGCATTTCATCTTTTGGAACGGAGTTCTGCCTGCACGGATTCTTCTCCCCATACAGCAATCAGATCCAGTACCTCCTGTTTGGTCCATGCTGGAGCTCTATTGCGATTCTGGGACTGCGTGGTCACCCGTGCTGATCAGCTCGCCACGCTGGCCAAACAGGAAATGAAATTCAAAAGTTCCCGGGGCTTTTTCTGTGTACCTGGCCAGTGCATCTGAGTTGAGAGCACTGTCCAGAGTGGTCACAATGGAGCACTCTGGGATAGCTCCCGGAGGCCAATACTGTAGAATTGCATCCACACTACCCCAAATTTGACCCAGCGAGATCGATTTTAGCACTAAACCCCTCTCCAGGGAGGAGTACAGAAATCAATTTTAAGAGCCTTTTAAGTCAACAAAACATGCTTGGTCGTGTGGACGGGTGCAGGGTTAAATCGACGCTGCTAAATTCGACCTAAACTTGTAGTGTAGACCAGGGCCTGGACTGTGTGTGTGCATCTGTGTGTGTGATAGCAAGTCTTTGATCAGGTGTGTGTAATCATATCTTGGATTGTGTGTGTGTGTAAGTCTTGGACTCTGTGTGTGTAAGTCTTGGACTGTGTGTGTGTGTGTGTGTGGTATGTGTGTATAATCCTAAATCCTGGATTGTGTGTGTAATCGTGAGTCTTGGATCACGTGTCTGTGTGTGTGCAGGGCTGGCCCAAGGGTTTTGGGCTCCCGAACAAAACTATGACTTTGGCACCCCCTCCCACCAATTCAATATAGAGAAAAATGAGTTCAGAATGAACATTTATCTTTATTTACTTGGCATTCGAAATGAACAATGTAAAATAAAAATAGATATTTTTATTGATTTTTTTTTCTTTTCATTAATCCTAACACAATTATACTGTATAAAAAAATTTACTTCCATCAAATTTGGCACCCCTGCAAGCTTGGCACCCTAGATGACCCACTTCATTCGCCTATATACTCTGGCCGACCCTGTGGGTGTGTCTGTGCGTGTGTGGGTGTGTGTCTGGGATTATGTGGGGGTCTTTGTGATGATGGGTGTAAAAGGGACACACCACTGCCTGTTTCTGAGCCCATCAATCTCTGACTGAGGAGGTAGGAAAGAGCCCTCCCTCATGGCTCAGATTATTCCATCAGTGACCATTAGGGGGCATCATGCACCATCCCATGGAGCAACTGAATTAATTAAATTAATGGACAGCAGGTTTAAAAACAAATAAAAGGTAGTTCTTCTTCACACAGTGCACAGTCAACTTGTGGAACTCCTTGCCTGAGGAGGTTGTGAAGGCTAGGACTATAACAGCATTTAAAAGAGAACTGGATAAATTCATGGTGGTTAAGTCCATTAATGGCTAGTAGCCAGGCTGGGTAAGGAATGGTGTCCCTAGCCTCTGTTTGTCAGAGGGTGGAGATGGACGGCAGGAGAGAGATCACTTGATCATTACCTGTTAGGTTCACTCCCTCTGGGGCACCTGGCATTGGCCACTGTCGGTAGACAAGACACTGGGCTGGATGGTCCTTTGGTCTGACCCAGTACGGCCGTTCTTATGTTCTTATGTTCAGAGCTGGGACTAGCTAGTGTCTTCCACTCACTTGCTCTGCTCTGGGATTACTCAGAAGAGGGCCAGGTATGTAAAAAATAACCAGGGTCCCAGCTGGGGTCACTTGGCCCCAGGAAGGGGGAGAGAGAGAGCTGTATCTCAGGATAGATAGATAGATAGATAGGCTGGGGATCTATCACGGACCCTGTCCATCTGTGACATCCTGTCTCTCCGATTGTCCCCCACCCCTGCAAGCCGGTATTAGAAGGATGGCTTGAACGGACTGCCTGCCCCACAGACCCTGTGGCCTAGTGGATGTGGGATCCCTACCCTCAAGGGCACTCGGTCCGAGACCTATGGCCTCCCTCTAGCTGTGCCAGAAGTAAACAGTAATTATTATTGATCCACTGACTGATTATTGGGGTGAAGAGAAGCACCCCTCATCTTCTCTCCTCCTGGGGGGATTCTCCCTCTTCTGCCCCCCCCCCCTCCAGGCAGGAACTTCCCCTTTCAATTGTTTTTCAAAATAAAACAAACAGGTGAGAGTGAGAGAGAGAGAGAGAGAATCCAATTCATGTCAGAACTCCTGGGTTCTCTCCCCAGCTCTGGGAAGGGAGTGGGGACTGGTGGATAGAGCAGGGGGGCTGGGAGCCAGGACTCCTGAGTTCTACCCCCACCTCTTAGCCTGCAGTCTCTCTCTGTGTCAGGTGCTACCCAAATTGAGAGCAAGGCAACCATTGTGCCAGGCATTGCACAGACCCTACTCGAGACTGAAACCTCTGTGGTGCCAGGTGCTGTAAAGACCCCAGCTGAGATCAGGGCTTCAGTTGTACGGGATGCTGCCCAGAAGCACAGTGAGGAGACAGACCCTGTACTGAAGAGCTTGCTGTCCACACAGACAATGTGGGGTGAGGGGAAACTGAGGCACGGGGTGGGTGGAAGGATGCGACTTGCATGAGGGCAACAGGAGAACCAGGACTAGCACCCAGGAGTCCTATTTATGTCTTTCTACAAAGAAAAAAATTCCTAGGAACTGACTGGGGAAGTTGTCAGGGTCTGAAAGCAGGGGGTGAAG